TGCTCACTTTGGTTTCAGAACATGGTAAATCCTGGTCTCCAGGCATGGGTTTGTTAGCCTGCTGTGAGACAGCGTTGGCTCTGCTAGAGTCAAGGACATATCTGTGGCTCCAGGGCACCCCAGTGCCACTGGGAAGCAAGTGTGGGACTCACTGGAGTGAGTGGAGACCTTCTGTGATCCTGTTTGCTAAGCTGATGTGTGACCTCCAATGCAGGGTGGTCCCTTTGATACTGTAACTTGCATAACAAATTCTTCACTACTACCACAAAGTCTTCCAAGACTTTGCAAGCAGCTGATGTGTTCCCTAAAGCAGGACAATTAGTTCCTCTTGATGTTGTATTAGCCAGCTTAGCTGCAGTTAGAGCCAACTGTCATAGAATTACCCAGTCCCTTTCTAACTCCAGCTATGGGATGAGGTCTTCAGCGCTGGAAAACCACCATGGCTCGGGGAGCTCCTCTGGCAGACCTCCAGCAGCAGGTTCATCCCTCCCTCTCCTCTCCCTGGAGCGGGGCCAGACGAGCCCCAGCAATGCCCCGAGGGGGGAACCCCTCTGCTGGACGACCAGCAGGAGGGCAGCTGAGAGGAGAAGGATCCAGCTGGGGAGACCTGCTGGGGGCCTGACAGGACTTCAAGGGGAGCTATCAGAAAGATGGGGACAATCTTTTTAGCATGGCCTGTTGCAATAGGACAAGGGGTGATGGTTTTAAACTAAAAGAGGGGAGATTTAGGCTAGATATGAGGAAGAATTATTTTACAGTGAGGGTGGTAAAACACTGGCCAGGGTTGTCCAGAGGTGTGGTAGGTGCTCCATCCCTGGAACCATTCCAGGTGAGGTTGGCTGGGGCTCTGAGCAACCTGCTCTAGTTACAGAAGTCCCTGCCTACTGCAGGGTAGTTGGACTAGATGACTTTTAAAGGTCTTTTCCAACCCAAAAACATCCTATGATTCTATGAAATTGGAATATTATTGGACAGTCTAACATTATTGACGACCTATGGGAAAGAGATTAGTAGGACTGGTTTTCACTATGGATAGGGTGACACAGGTCACTGTCTGGGAGTGTGTGGTTCAGTACAGCTGGGTTTGAATTCAGTGGAATGAGCCTCCCTCCTTTTTTTTTTTTCTTTTCTGTACCAATCAAATCTCTTTGAGGCTGACAGTGAGGTCCACTCTGTGCTACCACACACGAAGTTTTGTAAAAGCTCTTTTGAACCACCTAGCTTGCATTGGTTTTGTGCTCCAAGACACAAGAACAAATGATCCTGCATTTGGGAGCCGTGATATACGTTCAGTGACTCGTGGCTACAGTCACCCTTTCACTACAGGGCATTTGGGAGCTGATTCATGTCAGTTAGTGCTCTCCTGCTTCGTGAAATAAAATGGGCTATACAAATCCAATAAATAGAGAAGAAGTGTTGATCCTAATCACAACAGACAGCAAGATCAAACTCTGCAGCATGCTGTTACAAGTGCAGGGTGGAAAATCAATCTGATATGCACTCTGCCCCCTCTTTCCTACTACCAGCCTCTTCCAGGGCTTTTACACTCATCATTTATTTGAATATCTTCTTGGGTCAAGGCTACTCAAACTGATAATAGTAGGAGTGGCAGGCTTGCGTGCCTTACGAGTCACAGGAGATGTCAACATCTACCCATGTCTTTGGGTGTTCCTTCTTTTTATGATAGGGCATTCTCCATCAGCAGCATTTTCAGTTTAACTTAAAGCTTCTCCAGTGATTTCTACAAGACCCTATTTTCTGCCTTCAGGGACTCCAGAAAATTTCCTAATCACATCAATTAATAGCAGAGAACAGGAGTAGTGCTGAATATTAGCTATTGCTAAAAAACAGTGTCTGAAGAGTGCCCATGAACAATTGCAGGTAGCTCAGGTGTGAGTTCAGGTACCTGAGTTAGTCTCATCCAGGGAGCAAAGAGCAAGCTGAGGAAACAAAGAGCATCAGGCTGCTGACTGGAGGTCAGAGATACTTCTGCTACCTGTAGCTTGACACTGGTACCTAGAAAACAATTCTTCTTCTGTGTTTTTACATTATCCTGGTACTGTTATCCATTAAAAATTCCATGTTGAAGTTAATTGCATTAAGAGAATGAGTTTTGTCATTTACCACTTTCCAACCCTTAAGATTAATTCACTCTCAGTATAGATCCAATATGCCACTGTCAGCATATACCAGTTTATACCAATACAAGTGTTAGGGGGACACATAAATGACAACATTCTCTGCTGGAGAAAGGATTCAGCCCTGATCTATAGGCAGATACTTCTCCATCTGCCTTTCAAGAACTGGAACAAACCCACCTAAACTTTGTAACATGAATTGGTCCCAAATGGTTCAGTCATATCCAAACTGAGTAAGCTTTTATTTTTGTTTCTGTTTTTCCTACTGCCCTAACTAGAGACCTTTATGGTTATATTTTTTTTCTGATATCTGATAGAATCTGAAGATTTCTGATCTTTATCCAGCAGCAGAATATATTTGCTTCTGCTGATATAACCCGATTTACAAGTCTCTCTGTTAGAAAGGAGTGTGTAATTAAGGCAATATTTTTGAAGTCAGCCCAGGTCTAGAGGTAGGTGATAGTAGCTGGAGAAGGCTTGGAGCCTATTCCTAAGGACAGACTCCACTAGCAGGGTCTTGTGGACCCCCAGGCAGTTTCCAAGCTGCTCCTCCTCAGCAGAAATCTGTCATTAATTTCTTTCACAATATAGCTTGAAAGTATGAGAAGGAAAAAACATAAGACTCTTGGCAAACTTTTACTCCACTAGTAAAATGTGAGGACTCTGCTAAGTGGTCCCTAGTGAGGTTTCATAAATGTCTCTTTCTCAGCTGTTAATCAGCTTCCCTCCACAAGCTTGTCCCTGGCACTGCTGTCCCCCACAAATCAGGAGGAACCCCATGAATCCAAGGCTGTGGGTTGGCACCACCCAGGGAGGTTGCAGAGCAGAAGTTGGTCCATGGTGTCTCCAGCAGATGTCCAGAACTCGTATCCTGAAAGGTCCCTCCCTCCTGTTGTTTTTAGGTGGCACCTGTCAGCGAGGGGGCTGCAGCAGCAGAAGACATTGCAGCTCTAGCAGCAGGAGCTGGTGATGGCACTGCTACCACTGAGCAGGAGGGTGTTGCTGAAGGTGACAGACCTCAGGGAGAAGAAAAGGAGGTTGATGTCTCTCAGGTAATTCATGTCAGTGCACGGGAGAGGGCGTTAGGGGAATCAGGACAGATCCAGAAGCCCTGTGCCCCCAGGTCCAACCAGTAGCAGAGCTGAGGCTCTCCTAGGATAGCCCTGGGAGCAGCCCACACAGGGTGTCCCTTCTTCTGAGTCCTTCCTTTGGCTTGTGCCTGTGTTGTGCCCCTGTGCTCCCCTGGGCTTGTGGAGATGGGACCTGAGGGGCTGTTGGCTCCCATGATGGGCATGGGAGCAGCAGGGGCAGGGTGTTGTTTGGGCTTCCACTCCTGCTGTTGTCTCTCTGTGCTCCCCTCTGGAGATGAGCTTTGTCACATAACTTAGCAGGGCTTTCTGGGGACATGGGCAGAGAAAGTGGTGGATTTTTCTGGTCTCCTGGCACTATGACCTTTCAATAGCATTACTTTGCTCATAAATCACAGTGGTTAAGTTGTGTGTCTGCATGTGGCCTGCTGCCTTTTCTTCTGCAATCTCTGAGGAGCTGGGGAACAGCTACTAGAGCAGACCCTGCAGCTGGGCAACCAGTTGCCACCTCCTGTCATTGCACACTGTATTTCTTCTGCACACCAAAATTGGATGGTCTGGCAGAGGATCAATAAGTGTGTTCTATTCAGTTTGGATGCTCCCACCAAGTTTCATTAAATGCTCTTTGTTCTAGGCTTCATTATTGGTCAGATACTACCTATTTAGCCTTTTTGATTTCTCTGCTCCCAGTTACATTGCTGTAAATTAGGAGAAATCTCCTTAATCAGTCAAAGAAATAGGCCATATTTCCTTTTTTCATCACCTTTATATCACTATTATCCTGCTGACTTGAATTCCCAAAGAATCCACTGCGGAGAAGGAAGAAATCCCCATTCCTATATATGCCCTGTGCAATAGACAATTGTCTCATCCTGCTTGAAATAAAGTACTAATAACATTCTTGCAATGTTTTTGTGATTTTTTTTTTTGGTTTTTCCCCAGGAAAAGGTGGGCAGCATCCCTTCAGTAGTCATAGAACCAGCATCAAACAACGAGGGGGAGGGAGAAGAACACGACGTTATCGTGAACGAGTCCAAAGATGCCACAGCAGATATGGGCACTCAGGGCACTGACACGTCTCCCAGTGAAACTTTCCAGGCTGGAAGTGAACAGAAACCTGCTGAAGAAATTCAGGCTGCACCTTCTCAAGATGAGCCTGTTCCAGCAGAAGATGCAGCTTCTGCTCTGCCACCCGGCTTTCTCTTTAAGGTCTGCTTCTTTATTCTTCTTTCAGACATCCCTTCAGACCTAGCTTCTGTGGGTGTCTGTCTGCACAGGTAGCATGATGGTTTCTTGAGCCCAAAGGACGTTTAGTTTAACAGCCAGACACAAACACACACAAACATGGCTTTAACATTGTGCTGTTGCTTCATATGTGGAGTCTGAGAAGATACATTTTCTGCACACCGTTGTTGCTGTGCACATCCTCATGTGGCTGTAAGACTCACTAAAGTACAAGAACCCTTTCATCTCACCAAATCACTACTGAAAATTAATATATTGAGGAAAAACTGCACTGCCAGAGTGTTAGTCAGCAGTATTGTGTGATAGATGCTAACAGTATATGTGATATACCAACAATAACTTTCATCTTTAAGGTCTCTTCCAACCCAAACAATTCTGCGATTCTATAAATATTAAAAAATGGTATTTTTCTGGCCTGAAAATCTATAGTAGAAGTTCTGATTCTGTTGAGACCAGTGGGACTTCTATAATTCATGGTAATGAAGCCAAAATGTCATTCTGTAACTTCAGTAATAGTATAGTTATTAACTGTTAGGGTAATCAAACAGGAAAGTTTAATGAGATGCAAGAGAAATTCTCTCCTTGGCTGGCGAGATCCCTAGGGATTCCTGGTTCACGAGGTTCTTTGATAATGCTTCTCACTTCACAATCACTGAGCAACAGAAAAGCTCCTTGAGGATGGATGAACTTTACATGCTTCCCATTATGATCTGCATGCTTCAGACTAATTAGTCCCTTAGCACTCCCTAAGTACGCCAGTCTTCTCGGGCTGTTCTCATTGCTCACTGTTTTCTGAAAACTTTGAGAAGAACACTAAGGTGGGGGTGAACAGCATCCTGCAACTCTGACTCAGACATGCTGACATAGTTCATCTTTTGTTTTTCCACCACACTCTCTTGGGTCAGACATAAATAAGGAGAGGCAGAATTTATGCCTGCCACCTGCATCTCGGTGCCAGTTTCTTTCATTATTGGAGAGTTACCATGGAACTGGCTGTGCTCTGAGAAAATTAGAACATCTCTTAAGGAGGTAGAACCACTTTGTTTAAATGGTCTGTTCACAATGACACCCTGATCCTGCCAGTGTTTTAATAATCACCCCTTTGAAAGACAGATATTTTTGGCACACTCAGCTGCCAGTAAGTGGGAACTTTCTCCAGGACAAGCATTATGTAGGGTTCCCATTGCTCACCTTCAGTGGCCACAAGAGAATTGAGACTCTGAAATATCAGTTCCTGGGATTCTTTCCCAATTTTATTTCAAATATCCTGTCACCCCTTCCTCAGATCTAGTAGTGATAGTGGGGAATGAAAATGAGTTCCTTACACAGGAAGATATAAGGGTGGCACAACTTGTCTGAGAGGCAGGACTTGTGGGGTTTTGCAGTGTCCTCTGTCCTTCAGATCCTGTAACCTCAGGAAAGGACCTTAGGTTTCCTTCAGTAGTCTCAGGAAGACTTATTTAAGCTGTCCTTCCTTGCTTCCAAGGGTATGAACAGAGAACTTTGACATGAATCCATGTCAACATTAATGATTCGAATGTACCAGTCTGTAGCCATATATTTGCATAAAGAAGGCACATTATTCTTTTTTTTGCAATAAAGATTTAGCAGATAATTCTAATGAGTAAATGTCTCCATTTAGATCACATCTCTGTGGTGTTATTTTCTCCAGGTTGAAGTTCTACATGATTTTGAGGCAGCTAATAGTGATGAGCTTAATTTAAAACGAGGAGATATCGTCCTAGTAATTCCTTCTGAGACCACAGCTGATCAGGTAAAAACATGTGGTTCTTTCTTTTATTGACATTTTTGTTTGTCTCCACTTTTTTCTCAGTTAATTACAGATTAATGGAAATGTGTATTCCAAATCTCATTGCTGTTAGAGGACACTGAAGATTTTTATTTTGTCTTTGTACTTGGTTTCATTTGAGACTAAATGGCACAGCTGGCTGCAGCTGAAGCCCCACATAACATGCTACTAGCAGGATCCAACCTCACCATTTCTGCTGCTTTTTTTGTGCTGCTTTGTAGTGGATTTTATACAGACACACAAAGGCTTAATATGGAAGATAACTTATAAATTGTCCATTATATTGCTATATATCACCTTGCATCTTGTCGCAACATTGCAGTGGAATTACATGGTACCTAGTTGTTTAGAGCTTTTACATATGGATTTGGAGGAATAATACAAGTCCATGCACAGAGGACACTGAGACTGCACACAAATTGTGCTGTCCTACAGCCAGAAGGTGTGGAGGTGCTGCTGTGTGTGCTGAATGCCTCTGAAGTTAACTCTGCCCTCTGGAAGCCTGAATCTGAATTAAATGGCAGATGAATTCCATTTAAGACATCCAATTTTGTTTTAACAGTGCATTTCAGGTGTATTTTTAAATCAATTTTATTCTCTATGTAAAATTGAAGTGAATTGATTTTTGACCACTGCTTTAAAAAAGAAGCCTGTATCTGTGCTGCACACTGTTAGCACCAGCTGCTTCATGGGCATCTGTTAGTGCCAGTAGTGCTGGTGGGAAGTCTCCCATTGATTTGGGGGTTCAGAGCTAGGGGACTGGATCCTGCCTAGCCAGGTAGCTAAGAGCACTGCTCTGAATGGAGAATATTTCTTGAAATAGATCTAAATGCTAGCGCCTTAAGCACGTATGAGTGCTGGGGACTGTATCTGAAATTGTTTCCATTTCAGAATACAAGAGACAAGGAATCATTTTTTTCCTGTTTTTTTTATTTATTTTATCTCAGAGTAAAAGATTTTTCTTTCAGCAGGGCACTTTGCTCTTTTTACAGGGCTAGGTTCTGTTATCCTTACTCAAATTATGCTGCATCTTATCTCCTGGGCAGTATTTTCAGAATAGGACCTTGCTGTAAGAACAGGAAAATCTGCTCTCTGTCTTCAATCTGTTTGTATTAGGATATTATGTCTTAAATATGCTTGATCATCCCTTGGTGAATCCATGAAGTACATTCTTCTCTCGTGGTGTGCATCAGAATTCCATTAGCAATAATTGGAGTAAATTGTGTGCAATAATGGAGAAAATAAACCTTTATGTATTCATGTTTCTGAAACCATTCTGGTCATATCTTTATTACTCAGTACCTATTTGCCCTTTGTGTTTTAACATCACCATAAAGCTGAATCTTTTTGTGTTTTCCCAGGTACTTTGTGGACTTAATATGCAGTCTTTATCTTTGTTCTTTATTCTCCTTCAAAACTGGCCTGTCTAAAACTACAGTTCTGATACAGCTGCTAAAATCAGCCTGTGTTCCCCATTCAAAGCAAACCAGTCCCACCCAGTGGCTTCTCTATCTGCTTTAATTATGCTTATTTGAGGGCAAAGAGCCCATAAACGACCACTGAGCAATCACAACTCAGTGGTGATGTGAGGATCTCTTCAAGCTCCTCTATCTCCTTGTGTACTCTTTGTGCAATAATAATGTGGCAGCACTAGAAATTCTCTTTGTCCTGGCCTTGCTCTGGCTCCTGTTCCTACAAGGAACAAAGCAGAGAGTTACTGACTTAGTGAGATGAGAATTGGTTGATTATTTTTAAAAATACTGAACTGATTTTATTCCAGGTAGGATGAAGAGAACCCAGCACTGAAATGTCTCTTTTGATTGCTTTGACTGCTGGTGATTTCTTTGCAGTTTTGAATGTCCAGTTTTGATTTAAGTTTCCAGGAGTTTTTTGAAAAATAATTGCATGTGAACTAAGTTTGAGTGTCTGGAAATTAAGTCCAGAGCCTGCAAGAGCTGTTGTGTCTTCTGACCACTGATACATGAAGGAGAGAAAAGAACTCTCAGAGGAAAACCTTCAGACTGAAAACTATTTCCCCCCACCTATGGTATTGTGTAATGTTCCTGGCCCTCTGCTATGCTCTCACTGTGCCAGTCTTATTGTGGCAACTTTGAAGAAGTCTCAACAGAGATTGGCAGGAATGTAGATCTGGTGTAACACTGCATGACCTGGATGACCAGGTGCCCAGGTTTTGAGTTCAGCTGAGGGTTAGACCAGCTAAAGGCCATGCAGTGTGCTCAAAGTCACCACATCTCAAAAAAAAAAAAGTGTGTTTTGGCAGTTTCTCAGAGAAAACAGTCGGTGGAAAGTCACAAGCTCCTTTTTAACCAAAGCACCAAATCTTTTAGCTATGTAACTGAAATTTCTTCAGCTCTGAAGCTTGTAGTAAGGAAGGGGGGAGACCTGAAGTTTAAGAGACTCTTGTCTTTTTTCCTTGCAGGAGGCTGGCTGGTTGACAGGCATTAAGGAATCCGAGTGGCTTCAGTACAGAGATGCAAATAGCTATAAAGGACTTTTCCCAGAGAACTTCACACGCCATCTGGAGTAGTTCTCTCCCTGCTCAGGCAGACGAATGGGGTACGAAGCTCAGTCAGTAGGTTTTTAACCTCTTTGAGACACAGGAGCCCACCTTTTTGTAGTTTGAGCTGTTAATGGTTGACAGACTGGTGCCAGACAAAGCTTGTTGAAACATATCGACACGAGCGCGGGTGCAAACAGTTAAGCTAGAGATTTCTGAAGCAGTACATGGAAAAAAAAACTCAAATAAAAAAGAAATGTCCTTATTTGTTCACACGTACGTGGCAACAGGTTTGTTTGTGCTTTGTCAGAGCTATGGTGATCCTGTATTTGGTCCTTTCCCATGAAATCTGAAATTAGCCTCCTCGATACCAAAACCTTAACTTCTCTGCACTAAGTGTATTGTATTGAGTTGCACTGCAGAAGATTTAATTAGTTATCCTGTAGTTATGAGGTCAAACTATTATAATTCATGTGTTTTAAAAAAAAAAAAAAATTAACTGCTGCAACGTTTTTCAATGTTATTTTTGGCCATGTATGATATATATACACAGGAGACCTGGTATGTGTATATATAAGTGCATATGGGTATATATGCATTTTCACCAGCCCATGGTAGTTCTTTGGCTGTGTAGTATCCTCAGTACACACATTGCTCTTTCACTGTCTGGCATTACAGGAAATGGTTTTGTTCCCAGGCAAAACCAGCTGCTCCATTGCCAAAACCTGATACAGTGTCTGTGTTCGTAGTGTGGAATTTTTCATCCTGAGGTGATGAAATAACATCATGTTCAGAGCTGCTAACCCTTTGAGCAGGCATGGCTCGGTCTCCTCCTCCAGCAGCTACGACCAGATCATCTGGAGAGGGAGCTGTTATGATGCTAATCTGTACTTTTTTTTTTTTATTTAATTGGCTGAATAAATTTTAAAAAAAGAAGCAGAACTAATCTCTGAGGAGAAATAAACACAATATATTTTCACTATATGTATTTATGCAGCATTCCTTCACAGATCCTTTTAAAATAAGATATATAATGTATCCTGTATCAAAAAGTCATCTGTAACTTATGTTTTCCAGTGCTGTGTCATTGAAAATAAACCTTTGATCCAAAGAAGCTGTTTCATCTGTGGTGCTTTTGGAGTTTTGTAGCGTGGCTGTTCACATGGTTTATATGTTGTGACCTAATCTTAGTGTAATGCCTCTTCTTCCAAAGAAACACAGCATAGCAGAAGCACCATCTAAATTCCTGCTCTCAGCCCTAGTTGTGGCCAGAGCTCCAAAAGGTCTGAACCCCAGCTCAGCACATCTCCTGGCTGCTCCTCCTGCTCCAGACTCTGACCACCAGCTAGTATCTGTCCACAGGCACCCAGGGAGCTTGTCTGTGCTTGACCATCACTCAGCTGAAGATGACCACCTCTTAGGAATGTTTTGCTTGTCCATTTATTTTGTGTGGAAAGAAAGTTCTCCACAAATCTTCTCTAGTGTGTTTGTTAATGCACGGAAGCTGCAAATACTTAGGAACATCTATGTTTTCCTACCAAGTCAGTGATTTTTAATTTTATTTTGGCTGGGGGCTTGTTTTGTGTGCAAAGGGTATCTGTTTCCACTTGATCTCGAGTTTGTCAGATTTCAGTTGAAGAAACAGATATTTTTTGTTGCTCTGGAAGAGAAGGAAAGTTGGTTTCTTGCTGTTTTTCAAAATACAGTAGCTTTGAGAAGCAAGTCTGGTGGTAGCTGTGTTTTGTCAAGAAGCTGCATGGCTCAGCTGTAACAGCTGGGCTTTTGGAGTCGAATGTCACAATGAGCCATTGGAGCCTAAGGAGGTTGCAGGAAAGCTCTTTAGTTCTCTCTTCATTTCTTTACCAGGTTAGGTGGTCAGTAGTGATCCAGGGCCAAGAATCTCAACAGGGAAGCAAACATCCTTTTGGTTTTGGTGTGTTAAAATGAATCCCAGACTCCAGTGCACCACTTTGAGGTGGCCATAACCCCTGATTTATGGTGAGACTCTGATGGCCTCCAGGCTAGTTTCCTCATTCCATCTCAACACTTGCATTTCACTGATAGTTACTCTGCAGATGACTGCAACAGACCAGCACTGGACAATGGAGACTTCTTCCCTGGGGACGTCATTGACTGAGGTCTACAATCAAGTGAGACCATCAGGCATGGCAGCTGTAACCCTAAGGGAGTGGAGGACACTAAGAACACCTCTGCTGATTGTGTGAAGTTGCCTTTATGCCCTCTTGGTGCTAGAAGTACCCAAGTGAAAGTCAACGACCTTGGCCTTGATTCTTCCAATGTCCTTGGTACAGGTCAATGTGCCCAATCCACTGGTAAGGAGTTTGCAGCACACTTGAGGTTTTGCATAGATAGGAAAGGTCCCTGGTCTACAGGAAAGAGTTTTCATGGTTTCTTCTGACATGCTCTTCAGAAATACTTCTTGACTCTACTTTTCATTTCTTAATTCCACCTTCAGTATAAAGAAAAAGATGATTTCAAAAGCCACCAAGTGTCCACATCTGGCTGCGAGGAGTGTCGTTAGTTGCTGACAATAAGAAGATGTGCTGATCATGTCCCAGAAGCCACCCTATTGTGCATGATGCCTGTGTCATTGAAGTGCTGCTGGGGACTCTGGGCATGGCATACTTCATATCTTACACACACCCCAGAGCCACAGAGCAAAGGGATGTCTTGCAGGAAGGATGAGGACGATTATTAAGATTAAACTCCTTGCAAAATTCCACATACTAAGGTGATAGATGTTAAAAAAAGGACAATGATAAGTTACCCAGAATGATAATTTTCCTAGTTTTCCCTTCTAACAGAAGGAGTTAATGACTAGAAATGTATTTTTTATTTTGAGTTAACAACTGTTTCTCATATTCATTTTCTTCTTACCCTAGTTTCATTAGACAGTCAGACTTATCTCTCAGACACTTTTATGCCTGCAGCTCTATAGTATAAAGTAAGTGAATTTCTCTGTGATGTGTAGAAGTTTATTCTAGGGCAACCAAAAGAAATTCTTTCCACTATGTACTGCTCCTACATACCAGTGATACCCTCCCCACTGGATGTGTTCTAGCCCAGAATTATTTCTCTCTTTTCTTGGATTTCTCTGACAGACACACCACATTGGACTGGGCAAATGGCTGAGTTTCATGGGTTTGGAGTGGTTATAAAACAATAACCCATTGTATCTTGGTTTCTCTAAAGACTTATTTATGCCTAAGACAGCACACACTGCTAACCTTATACAGCAGCTGTAATTTCTAGTTCTACATAAAATAAACCTTTGAAAGATTTAGGGGCTCAGTCTTCTGATCCCACAGGCTGATCATTCATGGTGTGGCCTTGGAAGACAAAATAATTGAAGGTGAAGGGATGTGGCATGTGAGTGAACCCATAAATTGTGTATTTGCAGCTCAGCTCTGGTTTACAACCTTTCATGACTAATGAAAAATGCATAAGCTGAATGACACTTCTCTCCCTGTTCTCCTCCTCCTGTCCTCACCTTGCTCCACCTCTTCCAGACCTCAGAGCTGGGTGCAGCTCTCCCTGCCACAAGAGGAGGGAGAGGAGCTTGAGGGGCACAAGCCTCCTCAGATGGTGAGGCATTTGACTCCAGGATGCTCTGTTTGCTGATGCCCTAGTGCCAGAAAGATGTGAAATAAATCACAGTGTCATTAAGCTCATACATAATTAAAATTTCTTAAAGTCTTGCTGATGGAAGGAAAAAGGCATCGAAAGAGGGGCGGCATGATGTGTAGATCAGTTGGATGGGGCTGGCAAAGAGCAGCCACTGGCTGGAGGGAGGGGTTACAAGCCTGTGCCTTCTTGGACAGTCACATGCAGGCCGAGCACGAGCAAAAGTACTGCAGCTGTAGCACCCAGAAGTACCACGGGAGCCTCCAAAACACCACAGGTTGCTGCTTGAAGGACAGAAGCAGATTGTAGAGTTAGTTTGTAGAACAGATTTCTGAGGCGCACCTTTTTGAACCACCACCTGAGAAGCCAATCTCTGGCTACAGAAGTAGGTAGTACCATTAACTAAGCAAGGTGATGTTTCAGAAGAGCATGAAGGTGTTTTTTCCAGCTGGCTGTGGTCACCACAGTCACTGTTAGCTCTGGTGTGCTCTCTGGTGACATGGATTGGCTGCAGACAAGGGGACTGCAATGGGCTTGGGCCAAGCAAGCTGCTGACAATACATGGTGGCCACTTTGCTTCTGTGAAAGACCCCAGCTCCTTCAGCAGTAGCAAAACCCTCTTTAATTAGTAAGAGGAATTTTAGGCAATGGCACTTTCTCAGCCCAGGTTCAGAATTGAGGACTGTGTAGGGGGCTGGTTTTGGACTCAGCATCTTACTGAGGGTACAGATGCAGGGTGAGATGATTGTCACTTAACAAGGATTCCTCTCTTGGGTCTCTCATCCATGTGATTTCAGCTCTGATGCTCTCTTTGTGTGTACCGTGTCACCTGCAGCACTTCAACTGCATCTGTGTTTCTCTTGCATGGATGTCTTCACTCTGACCTATTTAATCAGCACAGAAACATCACATGGGGGAAACCAGAGCACTTCCCAAATGGTGTCTCCTGTAACCAGCAGGAAGACCTCATCATTAACATTCATCTGGCAAAGCTCAAGTTATCCCACAGGGAATTGTGCTGCACATTCAGATGCTCAGGAGCAGTTAAAGGATACTTTAGTGGAAGAAAATACCCCTGAGTAAAGCAAAAGTACCACTCTGTGTGGTACTTAAAATATACTTAAATTACACATTATATACTTAAATTATTATTTCCAAGGCACAAAGGAGAAGGTGAATGTACTCCAGGCTTCCTATGCTTCATTCAGGTAATTATTCATAAGAAAGCCAAATGCTCTGTATAAGTTTTTAAATTTAAACATATTGAGCTGCAATGGGAGGAAGAATCTGGCTGTGTGTCAGTGAATTAAAAAAAAAAACAAAACACATAACCAAAACATGGAATCTTGAGGGAAAAGCTGTGTGGCTTAAGATAAAAATCAAGAAATCAGAAGGTTGCAGGAGGCTTTATAAATGCTGAGGATCTTCAGGTATCTCCTAGCCCAAGAAAGACCAGCACACCTAAAAAGGACTCATGCAAATAAAAATTACCGATGCACAACTCTTTTGCTTGAAAGTTGCAGAGTATTGTAGGAAGTCTTGGTGTCCAACCGTGCCTGTGGATGCCACACAGCACCCACCAAGCCGCCCCAAGAGCTTTTGAGGGTTTTACTCCTCACACCCAGCAGAGGGTGGTAGATGTTAGAATTTGCATCTCCCAAATTCGCTGTCGTTTGGCTCAGGCTTCTGCTGGGAGTTTGTTTCGTTAATACCTCTCCCTATCTGAAGTTGACTCGTACCTGCAGACACACAGGGCAAATTCAGTGCAAAAAGAGAACCCAAACCGATTTTATGTCCCTCAAGCTGCACCATAAGTCATTACAGCAGCCCAGCCTCACCTCTCACAGGTATTAAACTCCTGCCATCTACCAAACGTGGTAAATCTGCACCAAGTAACGAGTTACTCAGTGGATTCAATTCATAGAAACAATGTTGGGTTAAGAGAAAAAAAAAAAAAAAGTAGTTTTATATGCTACCTCACTCTAAAATAGTTCTATGGTCTACATGTGTTTAAATAAATAGGAAAATTATTAACTATGGAAAAATATAGTTAATTTTCTAACTAACTCCTCACCTCTCATACATATTAAACTCCTGCCATCTACCAACCGTGGTAAATCTGCACCAAGTTACTCAGAGGATTCAATTCATAGAAACAATGTTGGTTTAAGAGAAAAAAAAAAAAAGTAGTTTTATATGCTACCTCACTCTAAAATAGTTCTATGGTCTACATGTGTTTAAATAAATAGGAAAATTATTAACTATGGAAAAATATAGTTAATTTTCTAACTCCTTCATGCCATATTGACCTTGTAAAGCCAGTCACCCTCAGCTCCTCCTGTCCCTCTGTTCCACCTACCCATGGTTTGTCCTGCTTTCACGGGGCTGACTGAAAACCCTGCTCAGCTTGTGGTTCTTCAGCATTAGTGCTGCAGTGCTTGACTTTCAGCCAAAGCAGCACTGATACAGGAATGTCTGCAGTCTTTTAATGCTGAAGTGCTCAAAACTAGCAAGCCAGTTGGTCCTCAGTTGCTCTGAGGATACAAAGTGGCTCTTCAGGCTACAAATATGCTGCACCCAACCACCTCTCCCCGAAACGGGGTCCCCAAAGCAGTAGAGAGAGGAGACCTGCAGGGATAGCACCAGTAAGTTAAATGTTCTACCATTTTTCTATACTGCCTGCTCCATTTAGGTGTGTGAAATAGCTTACAGATTCATGGTGTTCCTGTCCTTTGGGTTTGCCCTTTTCTCAGAGGTCTGAACTTCCTTTTCTCAGGAGCTGTGGCAGGACTAGAGTAAATTATGGCTTTCTTGGAAACCTTCCAAGCTTGGCTCTTTCCTTGGAAGGAAATATTGTACGTTTTAGTTATTCTTAATGGTGTCAGAATATATTTCTTCTTGTGTTTGTGTCACAGTTCCACTTGTTCCCCAGCCTAAGTATGCAGTTTACTATCATCTGCCATGTCCAATTATCCAGGTCCCAAGCTCCAGTGACACTTTGCAGCTATCTTGTGGACAAATAGCTTGATTCTCCTGCGTGGTGGCTGAGAAGTGTGGGCAGCACGACCCTGAGGCTGGAGAGAAGGTTTTGTGTGTTCTCCCCCTCCTCATGCTGTGCAGCACTCTGTGCCTTTGCCAGCAGAAGCAGGGAGTAAAGCTCAGCCCCTCTTCCTCATGGCTGGGGTGCCTGTGGTTTCACCGTGCCCCCATCACCCCAAGGGTGAGGTTTTCTTGGTGCAGTCTCACATCTGCTGTGTCCTCTCCCTCCAGGTATGCTCTGGGCTCTCCAACATGAACCAGGAGCCAGTCTCTACAACAAGCCAGCCACTCCCAGAGGACACTGTCAAACTTACCTGCAAAGGAACTGGAGGGTCACAATTCACCTACACCCACTGGGACCAAAAGTCACCTGGGACCCATTCCCCACTGATACACACTGATCTATTATCACCCTTTCTGGGTCTCCTATTAACTGGGACGCAGGTTTCTCAAAAAAGAAATATCAAAAAATCACAGCTTCCTTTAGGCTGGAAGAGGCTTTTAAGATCCTTGAGTCCAACCATTAACCCAGCACTGCCAAGTCTACCACTAAAACATGTCCCTCAGCACCACATGTACACGTCTTTTAAACCCCTCCAGTGGTGGGGACTCCACCACTGCCCTGGGCAGCCTGGTCCAGGGCTTGGCAACTCTTTCAGTGAAGAATTTTTTTCCTAATGTCCAGTCTCATCTACACACACAAAGACACTTGCATCCTTCTGGTGCAGAAGCTGGGCAACCAAGTCAACAGGTGGTACCACCATGCCATGAACTCTTTCTGTAGAGATATTCCAGCTTATTTCTCTAGACATGGGAGAACAGCAGGCAGAAAATGTCAGAAAGTGCTTGATAAGGGACTAGGAGCATTCAAGAGGAAGAGAATGAGGAAAGGAGAAGTACTATTATATGTTACTAGAGAAGTGGAGGGTGTTCTGGATGAAACTATTGAACTTGCATGTCCAGTGGCAGTTTTAGAGTTTTACTCTAGTTAAGGAACTTTATGGAGGCAAAATCCAGAGGGTTGAAGTGACAAAATCTAGAGGGATGAAGCAACAAAATGCTTTCCAGCTGTAAACAGGGAAGGGCAGAGTAAATGCTGGAGAATCCTTATGGGAGAAAACCACCTCCACCTCACAGTCCTTTCCAAACTGTCTGCAGCTGAAGAGCTGGGCAGGAGCCAGGAGGGACTGCATAGTGCCTCTGGCTTCCAAGGGGCCATCTTAGGGCCACGTAGCACTGCCTGCTCCAGAGCAATCCAGTGCAAGTGGGAGTCAGTGGGGACTACCCAACTTTGCACAACACCGAGCAACTTGTCGCTCCTGCCTGGGTTGGTGACTCTTCCTTCCTGGGCTGTTGAGCGATGTGAGGTACACCACACAACTGATAAGCAGCTGGGAGGTGCTGCTAAGCTATGGTTTATTTGTCAGGTAAAAGTCAAGCACAAACAAGAGCTATTTACAGAAATATGGGAGTTAAATATACACTCTCAGAAGTCTTATGAAGTTGCATCAAAGGTTTCTAAAAGTGAGAAGCAGAAAGTCAGTGCTTCTGAAGTTGCTCAGGGCTATATAGATTTAGGCTTTTTTTCTTCTGAACAAAGCATTCAGTACTTTATTGCATATAATTTTTATAATGTAAATATTTAAGGGGGGAAAAAAAACTCATATTTGAGTCAGAGGGTGAATGTTTTTCAGACATTGAATTGCAAAGAACTCCATTCCCACTTCAGCAAGAGCTGAAGAGTGGACCAGGGTTTATATTGGAGCAGCCTGTTGTCTTTTTCTAGGCTGTGATGCATCCTAGACCTCACATGGAGTGAGTGGTCAAGGTAGGAACCTTCTGATGTGCATGGCTCGAGGATCAGTGATGTACAAGTCCTGGGCCAGTGCTGCACTGCTGTGGACCTCACAGATTTTTGTAGTTCTCCCAAATAACCTCACATAATTAACTTATTTTCTTTGTTTTTTTTTTTTTTTTAAATTCCACTCAGAAAGCCACAAGCATCACTTCCAGTTGCAGCAAGCCTTCACTTCTGACTATTTTGCCATTAAGACAGGAAACCAACAAAAAGCTGTTTAAAGATCTAACAGCCATGGCTGCCAAGTGCTGCACCATGAAACGATAAACAGTTGTTCTGCTGTTCAAGCTGCTCTTCTAGAAGGTACTTTTCCTACACTTTGAACAAACAAAAATGGGTTTATTACTACCAGTGTCCTGCAGACACCTTGTAAATTTATATTTTACAGCATCTCTATTCAAGCTAGAGCTCTAAACACCTCAGCCAGTAAGAGAACCAGGGAATGAAGCTGGTCTCTGTCTAATACCATATCTGGGGAATAAATCTTCCAACAGGGCTCTCACTACGTGAAGCAAAGATACATCCAGGCAGAAATAAAGCAAAAAGGGGACTCAGGCTACAAATAAGGTGTAAGAATGGGGCAATGACTGCTGAAGCATCTTGCTCATGACTGTGGTGCAATCCCTGTTGCAGGCTGCGAGGCAGTTTCCTCAAAGAAAAGCTCCAGTTGCTCACACAGGGCTTAATTGTGGGAGCTGCTGTGGTGGTTGTCTCCATTTTCAAGGTATCTTCACTTGCAGGAACTTTCAGCTGGAGAAGATCTCTTGGGGGGCCCCCAAAAAGCTCAAGGTATTTAGAGGATGTGCCACTGGGTGATGGGAACCTGAGTCACTTATTTCCCCTCCCTAGGTGCCTGGGCCTGTCACAGCCTGGCCTTGCACAGGGCACATGCTGCTGCTGCAGGTGCTTCTGGCTGCTCAGCCCTTTGCTGTAGATGAGAGTTGCAGGGGCTGGGGAGAGTGCCAGGCTGTGAGCCCCTGGGGCTGGTCACTGCTGTCACAAGTGTGACAGTTTGTCACCCACACAAACCCAGAGAGGCTCCAAAGCACACTCTGTGTGTGCCACCAGGTGATCCTTTTTTTAGGAAAAATCTTGCAGAGAAAATTTTGGGGCTGAGGAGAAGTAGAGAGAGTCTGTACTTGGACAATAAATAAAATCACAAAACCTATTACAGCTCTTACTGGGACCATACAACCTTAGAAAGCCATTGGGCAGAGAAACCTGCTTTCAAGGGGCATCTCTTCTCTTCCATCTTCTGATAGCTGATGTACTTTAAAAATCCATAGCTGAAGAACAGGCTTTTAAAGGTAGCAGACATAAATCATAGTCTGGAGAAAAAAAAAACCCAAAGGTGTCTCTTTACTCATCATCATCCAAGCAAAGTCTCTGTAGAAAAAGAAGAAAAAAAAAAGTTTGCTTCAGTAGTAGGCTCTCTTCTTAAAAGGGTGGTTGGGGGGGTTTTATGGTTGGTTTTTTTTTCTGTTTGTCTTCTGCCTACAACTACCCAAAAGGAGGTTGGAGCAAGGTGGGGTTGGGTCTCTCCTCCCAAGTAGCAAGTGACAGGACAAGAGGAAATGGCCTCAAGTTGCACCAAGGGAGGTTTGGGTTGGATATGAGGGAAAACTTCTTCCCTGAAAGGGTTCTCAAGCCCTGGAACAGGCTGCCCAGGGAGGTGGTGGCATCCCTGGAGCTATTTAAAAGCCGTGCAAATGAGGTGCTTGGGGACATGGTTTAGCAGTGGGCTTGGTAGTGTTGGGTTAATGGTTGGACTCGATGATCTTAAAGGTCTGAACTGATTCTATGGTTCTATTGAAGTGTTAACCAAAGGGAAAAGCTCATGCATCATTATTTAGCACACCTGCAGCTGGCACAACCCCATTGGATGGTTTTTCTGCCACCCAGATCTCCTTTGGTCCCACTTGAGTCTGGCCCTGACCCTGTTCCACACAGAAGCCATAAGGAGGGCAGTGACCATGTGGCTGCTGAGCACTGTCTTGCTGGCAGCTGCTTTGTCTTGTACGTGCCCCACTCACCCCGCTGCCCACGTGCCCTCCAGTGCCCAAGGGCACGCTCTCTGGTCTCAGCTTCGTGCCTCTCATTTTTCTCTTTCTGTCACACAGGTGGTTCTGCACAAGTCTTGCAGCAAAGCCCCATATCCATCACCAAGCCAGAAAGCAAAACGGTGCTGATCAACTGTCACGTCTCCGATCCTGATTTTAACAACTTCTTCATCCACTGGTACCGAAAGAGGCCCAATGAAGCTCCCGAGCGTGTTGCCTACATGTCCTCCAGGCTCTTCCTTGAGAACAGCACCACTCAGGGGAAGTTCAGTATCGAGAAGGATCCCCTCAGATCTGTCTGCACCCTGACGGTGAGCAGAGTGACTCCGCAGGACTCCGCGACCTACTACTGTGCTAGGTGGGATGCACGGCAGTAGAAAGCCACAGGGGGCCTGCACAAGGACCTGCTCTGCTTTCTGAGCCAGAGCCTGGGGGGTTTGAAAGCAAGCAGGAACAGCCCCACCCTGCTTTCCCCATCAGCCTTGAATCAGAGACACTGTACAGGCAGCCAGAGAGCAAAGCTGCTGTGCTGAGCTGGTGAGCAGTAAACCTGCAAAACAAACAGCAACTGTACCACAGCTATTTCTATTTCCATTTTGCAAAGACATTAAGTTATTTCACCCCTTTTCTGCTTATGGCCAAAGAGCTGATAAAGTCAGAGGACCACTATGTTCTGATCCCAACAATCCCAGTATCACTGGTCTCCAGAGGAAGGCCTCCAGAACACATTGAGCTCTGGGGTAGAAGCTGCATTTCACAGAAGAGAAAAGGATTGAACTCCTGTCACAACTGCAGCACAGCAGTTATTGGATCTGTGTGAAAGTCCTGGAAAACAAGAAAAAAAAAGTGGCTCACATGAGTAAAATAACATTTAAACAGAGAAAAGGGCAACTGGTTTCATTTGCTTTCCAATTTTCGTCTTTCTTTTTGGTCTCTGAAGAATGACTTTGAATTGCATAGAGTAATTTTTATATTTTGCTAGCCCTAGTCATCTTTATTTTAAAGTGGAGGCTGTAAAGCATTTGTGTTTCTTTGCACAAGACCAGAATTTGGAGATGTCACCCTGGGGTGGGGCACCTCCCTTACCTGTAACGAGCAGCAGTCACAAGCACAGCAATACTACTTCTGAGCTCCCAAATGGCTGCTGTGGATTCTCCTGTCTTTGCCATTCAGCCTGTGTGACAAGCAGTGATTTGAGACCACTCAAATTCATTAAGTTCCATGGGTTTGGGATTTTTTCTGCTTTCTTTGCAGTGGACCTGAGGAAAAGCATCATACCTCAGGTGTTGTTTAGCAGCTTTCCACTAGTCAAAAAGCAGTGATAAGATTTGCTTCAGACTAGAAAACTGCTTTGTAAGTGAGCTAAAATAATTGTGCGTGTGCATGATAGAGAGAAGAAAGGTGAGTTTGTGCTGCTGGTGTAAAAGCTGCATCATCTGACTGTTAATGCTTAGCAGGGTCCAGTCAGGATGCTGTATCTCAACATCACCCTCCGGCTGCCCGGGCATCCTCTCTGGGTGATGCTCAACTGAGTCATTTCCTTTTTTCAGAGCTGTCAACTTCTCCTGGAGGCAAACGATGGCGAGACCCCCCAGGTTCCTGGGGCTCCTGCTCCTGGCCCTGGCTGCAGCCTGGTCTTGTAGGTTCCTTGTTGCTGTAGCACAGCGCGGGGCCGCGGCAGGTGTCCCACATTTCACCCGTGGTCCAGATGAACAGCAGGCTAAGAGTTTTTGTTCTGTTTTCTCTCCTTTCTAGATGGACAAGCAGCAGTGGTTCTGAAGCAGAGTCAGGTATCTGTCACCAAAGAGAAAGATAAAACTGCACGGATTGAGTGTCTGGCCGAGGGCATCTCCAACTTCCGCCTTGCCTACATCCATTGGTACCGACACCGGCCCAACAGGGCTCCTGAACGGATCCTCTTCATTGGGTCAGATCCAGACTCTTATGATGAAGAGTCCTACAGGAACAAGTATTCCGCTGAGAAGCGTGATAGAAACATCTGCATTTTAACAATCAAAGACATCAGCTCTGACGATGAAGGTACCTACTACTGTGCCTTCTGGCCGACCCACAGAAGCAGAAGACCACAGGCAGCCTGTGCAGAAAGCTGCCTGCACCCCGAGCAGCAGGCTGGCTGTCAAATGCACCTCCCTGCCTCGAAACCATCCCAACAGGTTGATGCTGAGTGGGTAAGGAGAAATAACAGGCAATGGGAAAGGCACAGAAACGCAGCGTGCTGCAGCCCAGCTGGTACAATGCACCGTGCTGGGGAAAAGGAGCACTCCTGGGCGTGGTGGTCCCACAGCTGAGCTATGCAGTGACACAGATCACCTTTGAATAACAGAGATGCTTTCCCAAATATAGTCTGAGACAGCAAAAATTATGGCAGAGAAGGGAGCACAGGAGGAGGCTGTTTGCCCCGAAAATCTAGCCTGGGAGACTTCAGATGGAGGTCATGATGGAGATACTGGTGATTCTCACTGGCCACTCCCATCTTAATGGCCATGGCGACAAGGACTATTTTTAACACCAATACCCCTCAGGGCAAAATTGTTTCAGATAGAGTATTTTAGGGCCTTTCTACACTGTTACTGCTGTGGTTTAGCTTGTTGTTAAATTTAACCCCTTTGGTGGTTGCGTGTTGAAGAACCACCACTGGATGTGCTGAACGAGTCATTTCCTCCTCCCAGACATTTGATGTGTTCTCCACCTGACGGGCTTTGCAACGTTCCTGTTTCTTTAGTTCATTTCCAGGTTTAACCCCCGCAGGCAGCATGCTGCTGCTTTCAGTCATCCTTCCAACTTTATTTTGGTCCCGTAAGCCTTTCTTCCCTCTCCCCTCTCCTTCCCACGCCCTGGCTCCAAACTCCAGCAGTTTCTTCCACTCACACAAGTTCTCCTCTTCCTACTCTTCATCTTGCAGGTGGAGATGGCCAGGGAGCACCGGTGCAAACCCCGGGGCTGCAGAGGGAGCTGGAGGGCAGCTCTGCCCGCATGGAGTGCCGCATAGCAGACGAGACCGTCCTGCACTGGTACAGACAGCTTCCTGGGGAGCCACCAAAGAGGCTACTGTACGTGATGGGACAGTCACCTGTTTTTGATGACAGCAGCTTTGGCATGAGAGTTCGAGTTTGGAAACTCAGCACCGAGCCTCTCTACAGCCTCACAATACAGTCCTTAACCCCAAGGGATTCCGGCACCTACTACTGTGCATATTGGTTTCATCGAGGCATCACAGCCTTAGACGGGCAAAGATAAGCCATACAAAAAGGTGTTTTGTGCTCTGAATCAGCCAAAAGTTCAGATACTGCCTTATTCCACCCTTTTCTCACGATTTTCTACAGCAGGATAGAAAAAATAGGAGTCTTGTGACAGCTGTCAAAGAGATGATGTTAACCATCAGTATATCATTTCACACAAATCTGTAACATGCAGAAACTGGAGAGTTCCAGTCACTTTAAGGTGAATGCATGAAACATTGCACTCTAAAATGAAGGCTTGTTTGCACTGGAAGCACTCACTTGATGGCAAACAGCTTGACTGTGTGTCTGAACAAATGTTAGCTGCTCATTTCTCTTCTCTTCTCTTCTCTTCTCTTCTCTTCTCTTCTCTTCTCTTCTCTTCTCTTCGCTTCGCTTCGCTTCGCTTCTCTTCTCCTCTTCTCTTCAAATCCTTGAAGCAAACAGAGAAACATGTCTCCATTCCCTCAGTGTTCTCCCTTGAAAAAAAAAAGACATGAATATAAAAGAAGGTGAGAAGACCAGGCGATCTTGCACATCCTTGACCTTTTTCTTTCATCTTCCTTTGCATTTCAATCACTACAAACTGTTACAACAGCCCAGAAAGCCTAATTTTATTGTCACAGTTTCCTGTGTGATGTGTCCAGAGCAGAACTGAACTCCTCAGCCACAGGCTGTGCCTCTGGCACACAGAGACTCTCAGGCCCTTTGGGTCAAGTGTACTGAGTTTCATAAATCAGGTTCTATGCTCAAAGACTGGTTCTAGGAAAGCTGGCATTTGCCTGATGGCTAAGTCAGAAAATGGAGATAGTTTTGTGCCTCCAGGTTCCTGGATGAGGACAGAGTACATGTGCTCAACATCCTGTGAGATATTCCTCTTCATGCACCTGGACCTTCAAAAAGGAGCATTAACACTCCCTTAGTGGTGGTTTTACGGTTCCACAGGCTCTGAACATTGTCTTTGCTAAACCTTTGGTCAGGGTGGCCTGACAGAAAATTAAACAGACTTTCCCACAGCCATTTGTTGGGAAGAGAGGGACACTTTCCATTGTCACCACACAGAGGCAGGTGGCTCTCCTTGCCCTGTTCTCCCTGGAGCCCTGTGCTCTTGGGCACCTTTCCAACATGTGCCTACCGTTGGCTTGTTGCCTGTGGCCAAGTACCAGCAGGAGGGAGCCCGAACAGCTCATCTGCCTCCTCACTGGTCACAGGAGAGCACCCCATGGCACCAGCCCCTCCTCAAGATGCCCCTCTGTGGTGGCTGCTGACAGGCTCACTTTTGTTTTCCAGTCTTCCTTTGCAAGAAGTGTTTGCATCTCCACTGAGAGTCAAACCTAAGTCCTGCAGCCCTGTGCATCTTCAGGCACTCAGCACCAAAGCAGGTCCCCGTGGGGCAGCTGCTCTGGGCGCTGCAGACGCCTCTGCAGTGCTGTGGGGGACCTCAGCACCAGCACTGGGGCACCCTGGGCACTTCGGCGTGCCACAGCTGGGGGGCTAAGCTGAGGCAGCAGCAGGAGCTCCCTGATGGGGTGGGGAAATGTCTCCCCAAGCCACAGGCACCGAGCACCTCTCTGCACGCCTCACCGCCCACTGGTGTGACCTCTGGGCTGAAACGTTCCTGCCCCAACACACAGCTGGAGCTGCTCTCACTCACAGCCCTTCCTCAGTGTCTCTAGCTTGAGTTTTCAAAGCCCACAGTCCTAGAATTTACCAGTTTTTCTCATATTTACCCGAAAAGCAGGTGGGACCACACCCTTCTGACAGCTTTTAGCATTTGCCAGCCTGGAGCAAGTTTTCTGCAAACGCGCCTCACCTACTTGTGCACAGAAGACTCATGCCTGAAGAACCCTCAAGAAAGTCACCTCCTCTCCTCCTCCCGTGCAACACCGCTCCCATCTGGGGTCCACTCCACTCCCCCTCAACTCCCCAGGACAGCAGAGTGTGAGAAGCAAACATGCTGCTGGCAGTGCTCCTGGCCACGGCTGCCTGCTCTTGTGAGTCCTTCCTCTTTCCTTATCTTTCCTTGCAGGCACCACTGGCTGCACTAAGTCACCCTTCCAGATCCCTACATTTCAACTAGTGAAAACATGTATTCTCCTTTTTTTTTTTTTCCCCCTAGATGGATATGCACAAGAAATTCCTGTGCAGAGTCCTGTGTCCATCACCAGGTCCCAAAAAAGTGTGCGGATGACCTGTGAAATCAAAAGTTTAGGGGGAAGTTTCGATAGAACCTTCATACACTGGTACCTGCAGAAGGAGGGGAGAGCTCCAGAGCAGCTGCTGTACATTTCAGGAGGGCAACCTTCCTTTGAAAGTGGCTTCCAAGCAAACAGGTACTTGGTTGAAAAAGTTTCTGGCCAGAACCGGTGTATTCTTGCAATAAAAGATGTAACTCCAGACGACGCTGCTACCTACTACTGTGCCTACTGGGATCCTCACTGTGGTAGAAACTCAAAGATCATCATGGTAAAAGAACTTCCCTCAGAGTCTGAACCACAGGGCTGTAACTTTGCCACTCCCCAGGTCTTCTCGCTCCACCTGATGTGAACTGCTGAAAG